TGACATTAATATACAAATATTTGAAGCTGTACATACATTTATAGCAGCAACAAAACGTTTTATATAAACACTGTCATATCTATATATAGATATAATTTTTATTTGTTAGAAGTACTCCCAAACCGGTACTACTTTGTATTTTGTCTCCCCCTGTAATTTTCCCTTTTTGTTATTTTGTTCATTCTATTTTTCTCTTTTGTTTAATTTTCTACATATGACTTTTTCAGTTTTTTTTCTCTGTTTCTTTGTTCAATTTTGTTTGTGTTTCTTTTTTCTTCTTTTGTACATTCTTTTAATATCATTATTTGTTTTGTACCTTGACCTAAATGTAGGGAGAAGGCTAAAATAGGCTGCGCCTGCTGCCCAATCCTATTCACGACAACATCTGTGAATAAAATATTGTTTAAATTAAAATATATATATATATATGTTACAGTAAATATGTGTAACCAGGAATTTCACGTATTTCCTGAATTTTAGGAAATACATGAAATTCCTATTCTGCTTAGGGAATACACGTATTTACTAATTACAGTTAGGAAATACATGTAATTACTGAACTTTTTAATACTTTTTACACATATTTACTGACTGTGTTTTCGTGGGATAATATAAAATTTGAATCATAAAATATGAATAGATACACAGTATAATCAATGTTCATATAAGTGAGCATACCATATGTAAATAAATACTATTTGAAATAAACTTTTATTTATGTATAATTTTTGAAAATGTGTTATTTGTAAATTTTAACTTAAAATATAATGATACTCTGCCTTCATTTTTACTGGTATGTGTTTTCTATATCACAACATACTTAAACTAACTTTCAATTATTTTTATATATTTTAATCTGAAAATCTAAAATCGCTTACTAGCATTTCCTATTCTATTAGATATTCATACAATGCTACAGGTTTTAACAGTAGATTTAAATCCCTGAAGCATCTTATTTGTAAATAAAACAATTTTTATGATGTGATCATGTCTCCTCAAAAATGCAGCAAACCACCCACCCCTCCCCTGGTAAAATACACATAATGTAACGATATTAAAGTCAGGAATTAAAATTAAATTTTACTTTGAGGAATTTTCAACCCTAACAATTTTAATAATTCAAAATAATAAAAAAAAGAATTGGGTTTGAATTAACTGAAAACTGCAAAACATATCTATTTTACCATAATTTTAAAGATGTGAGACTCGAATAAACAGAAGTACCCTTAAAATCACCATTTACAATTCGTACATTTTTTTTATAAATGTTATAATAAAAATTATTTAAAAACTATTTCAAATACGTTATTCTGATGCTAAATGATCTAAATTTATAGCTTCTTTAGAAATATTTTCGAAATGTAAATATTAGAAACTTCATTTTACATAAGAAGTACAATAAAGGAATTCAAAATTAATGCATAACGTCAGCTTTGTAGAAACAATTCTTATCAAATGCTGCTTTAAAAAAAAAGGAATTTTAGTATTTGTATGTTTACTGAATGTTTAAAAGGATATGCATATATTATTCATCCTGCTTTGTTCAGTAAAAAAGTGTAAAATTGGCTAACATTTTCAGTAAATACACGAATTTCCTAGTTTTTCAGTAATTACATGTATTTCCTAAAACAGCCAGTAAATACATGTATTTACTGAATGATTTAGGAAATACATGTAATTCCTGATTACACATATTTACTGTAACATATATATATATATATATATATATATATATATATATATATATATATATATATATATATATATATATATATATATATATATATATATATATATATATATATATATATATATATATATATATATATATATATATATATATATATATATATATATATATATATATATATATATATATATATATATGATGCAATTTGCATAAAATTTCCCTGAAGTATTAATATTTATTATAGGTGAAATAGCACTTAATATAAACTCTGCATGTATATTTGATTTAATGATCACTGTTTCATTTATTTTTCATCTCAGTACTTGCAGTGATTTTTTTTTTTTTTGCCCATTATGGTACATTCTGACTACATCTCATTGAATTTCATTTTAGTTTCCCTCTTCTCATAGAAATCTGTAAAATTTCCCTTTTTCCCTTTTGAAAAAAATTGTCAAGGAAGATAACTCATCTTATGCTGTTTTACAGACTGAGCCCAGCAGATCTGAAGGAAGGGACTCTGATACCTCTACGTTTTGTCAAATTTCAAAATGTCGGAAATGTCACGGTAAGTAAAACTTTGTGGTGATCATAGCCTTAATCAAAAGGCTATGGTGGTTTTCTGGGGAGAAAATATTGGTTCAGTTTTTGAGTTTTGTCTCTTCATAACTCAAAATAGACTTTGCCTGCTGCCCAATCCCATTCATTTTTTTGTGAATGAAATTATGTAATTAAATATATAAATAACCAAAAAAACCCACAAGATATGTAAAATTTACACCAACAGATATTATAGAATTCATAGTGCAGTACATGAATTTAATTCTTGTTTTTCATAAAAGTGGTGTGTATGTTGACAAGGGCAATAATTCTGTAGGAATAAAAACGAAGGGGTCCAAACTTGAAAAAAAAATCAAATTAAAATCTGTGTCTGTGCAAATTATTATCAATTCTAATGAAGGACTGTAAAAATCAATATTTGTTTTATTTCAGGTATTTATCAAAGACAACCAGTCTGGTTCAGAAACCACACAGATAGACTACTTTGGTTTTGTTGGTTCACCTGTAGACACTACAAATATGGCCGAATTTAAAAGGGTGAGTAACAATGTAAAGCATGGAACAACATGTGAAGGGTTACAAAAGGTCAGCATGAATAATTATTAGTAGAAAGCCAAACAAACAAAATTAGTGGATCTCAATCCTTGAGATGGAGAGTTTTGTTATTGATTTTTCCAAAAAAATATATCTCTTATCTTATGAAACATACTTTGATAAAATAAACATATGTTTATAAAGGAAACTCTTTTAAGGTCATACGCAACGTAGTTTGAACTTTATTGGGTTCTTCCCTGGAGTTGAAGAGTTCCACTAAATGAAGGGCCTGTGTGCAAAACTTTTAATGTCTATATATGGATTTGTACACCTCTTCTAAAACAAATTTTGATGAAAAAAAATCTGGAATTTATGTTTTATATTTTTTGTACCTTTTTCTTGAATAATGCAAAGATTTTCTTAATTTCATATCTTTTCAAAAGCCTTGGTAATGCATGCTGTTTTTTAGTCTAAGAACATGTAATGGTATTATAAGTTTAAATATAGAATATCTTGAAAAATTATTTATAGTAGGTAAAGTATGTTGCGTATGTCCTTAAAAGGTTATTGCTTGGACAATTTTCAAGTTAAAGTATATTAATATGGTTGCCTCAGCCTTGCAGAACTTTAACATTGTGATTTAGTTTCTAGTATATACTTTTAAAAAAATCACTCTCTTATTAATTTCGCAAGTGGAGCTTGTCAATGAGTTATCAATGAATGAATTCCAAAGGGGTGAGGTCAACATAGATAGAGTTATCTCTCTTTTAACACAATTGTATCTGAATGAAATTTAAAGTAGAAATATTTAACAGTTAGCGTATTTAAATTTTGCCACACTGCGGGTGGGAAAAAAATGATAGAAGGAAAACGGGCATTAAAACTTTGAAACCTGACATTAATTGTTCCACAGAGATCAGCAGAATGAGGCAACAAACAAATTTAATGAAAAGGAAATAAAGTTTATTTTCAGTTTCAGAATATAGAAAATATTTACTGTATTCAAGTCAATCATGATTTTTTTTTTATTCTACAGGTTGCTGGCAAAAAAGGAGAGAGCCACTGACAGTCAATGTATCTTAGATTTCTATTGGTGAACGGGGAGGGGGCTTATACAGAAGGAGGAGAAACACATCTATCTTATCAACTACATGTATAACATTATTTCTGAAGATACGATATTTGATTATAGACAGTTCATATAAATATTTAATTTATCGTAATAAAGAAATATGAAGTATCTTTTATATAGAACAAAAAAAGGTCGTGTTGAAACTTTCAAATAACTGTAAAATCAGCTAATATTCTGAAGATTTACTGCCTGACTTATGTGTCAGTTATGTCTTTTTATGCTATGGACATTTCAAAAAGTGATGTACACATTAAAGAAGTATAAGGCTTCTTGTAACATGTAGAGGATATGATTATTTGATAAAATTAAGGAATATTTTTAATTTATATAAAATCTGTGTTCAGATTCTGAATGTTTAAATATGAAAAAGAAAGAAACGATGCTTCATTCATGAACAATTATTGAAAAACATTGATACTTGTAACCATGATTTTCTCCTTAAAGTTGACATTTATATCCACAAATATTTTGAATTAATGTATTCACTCTGAACTTTGTTCACAGCTAGTGGAGGAGTATGTTTGATATTTTAAACAATGCCTATGGATGTCAAAATCTTGAAAATTGTTCTAACATTAAATTATTTTAAATATCAAAAAACTTTTATTTTTATATAAAATAATTTTGAGTAATTTATTTAGATGACCACTTTAATCCCTGAAATCCAGTTTCCAATTTTGTTTCCAGACTGTATTAAAGCTGAACACGACTCGTAAATAGGCATACTCCATTTTCGATAGCATTATCTACGTTTTTTTCGTTGACTGGCAACATCACAGTTTGTACAGTACAATTTACTGTAAACCAACTATTATTCGCAATATCTTTTATTTGCAGTTTTTCTATCTGAAATCAATCCGGGACGATTAATTTCATGACTGAGGAATTATTTTTCCACAAATACTAAGCAAAATGATTGGTTCGATGTGATTAGTATTCATGAATTCTTGCATGCGAATTATAGTTGGTTTACAGTAGTTCAAGAGCTCTTTGAGATGTTTGGTAATGACCCCCAAAACATAGCAAATACAAAACTTGTTTTAATGTTGTCTACTTTTATTAAAGACCCTAGAAAAACAAGGGTCTAATATTCATTTTTAAGAACCGTACAACCACAATATAATTCAACAATACAAAAACAAAGTAAATTTGATCGTGGCATGTCAAAATAATATATCTGGCCTTTCATTCATCTCAGACATTCTATACCAAACACACATCATGGATATTATACAATATGGAGGAAATGGGAATCATGATAAAACTATGAAAATTCATTCAAAATGCTCTCAAATACAATCTTTCAACAAAGCAATTAACTTTCACGCATTATTCACTTAAGTTTTAGCATTCATTCAGATCAACTCACATAACATGTGTATTCACAATAAAGAGTAATGTTAATGCACAGTAAATATCTCTCTTTGGCTTTGTAACAATATATCTGTTTTAAAAATCTGCAAATTATTTTAAAAAAGGTACAATTCAAAACAAAATAAAATGCCAATACAATAAATAAAAGAAATTTGTTCGAGTATATCATTGCATATAATACCCTAAGTGAGCTCAATATTAATGTCAAATTGCATATATAACAGCCCCCAAGGCTTAATATTGTGTAGAAAATGCATTATCTATTGAGCCTGGTCCCAAATTTCAATTTGTACAAAATACACAGGACCTAGCACTAGGGAATGTCAACATATAAATATAATGCCTTTTTCTATAAACATCTTGACCTAACATGCATTAATCTCAAGGCTGAAATATTTTTGTGTGACCTGTCCTTGACCCTGAGGTCAGATGAGCTTAATTTAACCTTGACATGAGGTTATGGACTTGTGTTGGATGTAGAACTCCTGCATGAAGCTGACTAGGAGGTTGGCTTCTTGTAGAGAGAGCGCGTTGTATAGCGAGGCTCGGATTCCTCCTACTGACCTGTAGAGCAAAAAATAAAATACAAAATTACTGAGGATTAATTCTTACTTTACTGTGTGAATCATTGGGAATCTGCTTTAAAACTGACATCATAAATAAATTTGAATGATATTGTAAACATTTATATTCTAAGAAAGGTAAAAAATGTCAATGCAAGTCTTTGTTGAAAATTGCAAGTTGTTTGTTCCCTGGTCAATAACACCCCCCCCCCATTTTTACTTAATAAGACGTTACCCTCTGGACTCTGGAAGACTTTTGTACCTTTAACATCTAATAACTCTGACCTTTAACCCTCTGGAAGACCTCAACCTTTGACCTTTAACATCTAATAACTCGGACTCTTACCTGTGTCCTTTGAGTTGAATCATGCCCTTCTTGCTGGCCTCTTCTAAGAATTTCTTTTCCAGAGTTTCGTCCCCATCTGGTCCCCCGATTCTGAACGGAGCGTTCATCCGACTCCGACAGTGAGGCTCCACTGTAGCACTGCAGAAAAAAATCCAGATGATTTAAATTAATGTCAAATGATGACAGAAGTGCAGATTTATCTCAAACTTGAGACCTCAATTCCAACCCCCCAAAAAGCTGAAAACTATGATATTCACAGATAGATATAAATAATCTTTCTTCAATATAATTTCCATGCCTCTGACACTACAAACAGAAGCAAATTTATATGTTTCAAAAGATAAAACAAACTTGAGAAGACTTAAGGACTTCCTGTTGTAGGTTGGAGGTTTGATTATTATTAAGAGCCCTTACTGGTAGAATCCGTTAGATTTTTCTATCATGTTGTACACTGCCTCTGACTTCTGTTTAGAGTTTTCTGCCATTTTTTGAACACCACCCTCATCCTTTACCCACTGTAGGACTAGACCAAGGATGTAGATACTGAAAAAAATCGAAACATAAAACGTCAAACTCGGAACTAAATGACGCACATATAAATCTTATGATATATTCTGAAATTATTAAGTTGTATATTAAAATTACCAAGAAAAAAAAGGAAAGAAAGAAATATACATTATTTTTTTGGGGGGGGAGGGCCAAAATTTTTATTTTCACATAAAATTGTGCACAACAAAAATTCAAGTCAACTCATTGTGAAAGTGAAGGAGATGGCTAAGGTTTCCAACACTTTATGGTAGCAGATCAAACATCAACATACTTGTATGTGGGCGCTGTGTTGTAGAGGGAATTGTTGCCCACTTGGATTTTGTAGTCCATGGTGACGGGACACGTGGGCATGGCCTTGCCCAGCAGATCCTCTCTGACAATGACTAGTGTCACGCCCGCACAGCCCATATTCTTCTGGGCACCAGCAAAGATCACACCAAACTGCAACAAAATACAAACAAGAAAATTAATATTCAAATCTTTCCATGTATCTTACAAAGGTTATTAATAAAATTAGTTTAAAGCCAGACTGTAACACATTACAAACAACAAAATAACATTTTTGAAACCTTCCAGTTATACAATGGAATTGAGGTTTTATTCATTTTTTTTAAATTAATAAGATGCCCCCTTCCCCCTTCTACCAAATATAAACTCACTGAGAGATTCCAGGAACTAACCAATCTTCAAAATTGTAAAGGGACTTTGTGTTTATTGTACACATTTTTATGCAAATCATTGTTACAAACGCTCACCTTTGAAACATCTATAGGTTTGGACAGAATATTGGAAGACATATCACAGACTAGAGGAACACCGTTGGTTTCTGGGATATCTGGAAACTCGACTCCGTGGATGGTTTCATTAGAACAGTAATATACGTATGAAGCATCAGGGCTTAGTGACCACTCACTGGCTTCAGGAATATCTGTAAAATATCAACCTTACTATTAAAAAAAAAAATTTTTTTCACTTTTTTGAAGTGACACTTCTCAAGTTGCACTTAAATTCCTGTTTAAATGTTAAACCTTTTTTCAACAATTTGTGTAACCTTTCTAAATATCAACAATCAAATTTCTTCTTAATCATGTTTAATGAGTAAATGCTCCTAAAAAAAATTTGGCAATGTCCGCAAGAGTTCCTTTTGCGATAAAAGTTCCTTTTGCAACAGTATAGAGCATTCTAATTTATTATTTAATGATTCTCCTGCCAAGTTGTTTAAAATATCAAATAATTATCGAAGAAATTTTATCTGTCAGTGAGTATTCACTTACATGTATAAGAGTCTAGTTTAGGCAGTACAAGGTTGACAGTTCCGTATTTCTCAGCCTCCTTCGCAGCTTTAGCTGACCAGGACCCCGTGACGATGTAGTCAGCTTTAGCCGCAGGTCCCAAGTTCATCAGATTAAGGGGGACCGCGGAAAATTGACCAGTACCACCCCCCTGTTTGAATATGACTTTGTAGTTATCTGGAACATTTCTGAAATAAAAAGAAATGATTATAGTCCATAGGCCAACTTTGTGCAAATTCAGGGGGTGGATCTATGATTTTTGGGGTGTTTATAACTTTCACGATGATTTCAAACAAATTACAGACATGTTTTTAAATTGGATATAGTATGTGTAAGCCACATGTAATTTTGTGCAAGTTCAAGGGTGGATCTATGATTTTTGGGTGTGTACCATCATGATGATTTCAAACAATCAATTGATTCAGAAACATAATTTTAATTGTGTTTGGTAGAGGTAATTAAAAACTTACAATAATTCTCTAACATTCCTCTCTGCAGCATTAATAATCTTTGTAAAATCTGCTGATCTATGGCTTAGCTCTGAAATATGAAAATTAAAATTATGAGATGTGTCAAAAAAAAAATAAATGCTTTTTTTTAAATTAATTTTTTATGAGCAAATTACATACATTTTAATAGTCCCCAGGTCAAACAGACTGAGACATGAGAAAAAAAACTAAAAACACAAAAATTGAATCGTCTAGATTTACTCGACATATTGAGTTCTTTAACACGTTGACGAAATTGTTAATTAGAGTAATTATATAATTAATACTCACCCATGACACTGATTCCTGTATTGTTATAATTAAGCATTTCCTTCTGGGCGGTCTCCAACACCTGTCAATCAAAATTAATTTAGAATACTTGTTATCTCATTGATGATTAGGTTGTGTAAAATATATTGATTAATTGGTTAGACTGATTGATTCTTTTATTAAATTAAGACCAATTTTTGTTGACTGAGGTTGCATATGCAGTGGTTAGAGCATCAAAATTGATTTTTGTTGTCAGAAAATAAAATAAAAGAGCAGTAATATTACCACAATTACTAAGAAAAATAAAGAAGTTTATTAATTAAAATATTAAGTAAAAAAAAAATATTTTCACAATTTTTCATTTAATAATAGATATCTAAAAAAAAATATTTCAAAAAAAAATTTTCCCTAAAGTTTATATGCTTAAAGAAAATAACAGAAGTTTTTTTTTTTCCTTATGTAATTTGGCTTTTAGATGTGCGCAATTTTATCTTTTTGTAGGTCTTGATAAAATATGCATTTTTTTCTCCGTGTATAATTAAATAATTTTTTTCTTTCAGTACTACCCCTTGTAAAACTAACCATATATTTAAAAATATAATAATTTTCATAATGTTCTCAAAACTGTCCTCATTATCCTTGCTGCTGCTAAAGGGGAAAATTCCCAAAAATAACATTATTTTACTACACAGTGGCCCTGCACTTTGCACATATAGAAATAGCGTAAATTGTACCTTTCTTGGCAGTTTTGCAGGTCCGGCAGAAAAATTGATCACTCTTTCCGCCATGATTGTTTCCGCTTATTGAAGCTAAAGAGTATTCTTGATTGACTATTCACTTCGATCCCCTTCGGATTTCGATTTACAACGAGTGAGGAAGATAGTTTGGCTCTGTGAGATTTTATACCATTCGGAAAGGTCTCTCTGCGTTGTGATTGGCTGAGGCAAAAGGTCGACCAATCAGAATGGAGATGACTGGGGTCATCCGTCGTTCCACGTTTCAAGCGAATGTTGTTTTGTGACATAATAGCTAGACATGCAAGTACATTGTAAATATAGGTCATTTCATTTATTAATCAGTGTTTTTAAATGGATCTTCATGTCCACAATAATTTGAGTAAAATGTAAACAGTGCAGAGAAATTTCATGCAGAATTTCAAAAAGCACTAGATCATCTAAACATTTTAATGTCCCCTTATGATGAAGCGAATGAAGAGTAATGATGCAATCAAGCTGTATTAATCAATGGAAGATCGAAATATATTATTCGAATATTAACATTACAACAAGCGTCTACAATAAATGCCACTACTGCTTTCAAGAGTCAAATTGCACACTTTATACTGACTGATTTGTTTTTGGTCGATATATGCATGTCATGCATTCACATGCAATCAATGATATCGAAATGCGTATAAATGCAATGTATTTAGCTTTGTATAATTATCTATTATTTATAAAATGTATTATTTTATGCATCTTATTAAATTTTTATCAATATAAAATTTCAATCAGTTTTAACAATAACTATAAGAAAATGGCAAACTGTGGTTTTTTTTTAATATCATTTTTATTCAATCACCATGCATGCATCAGATTCATTAAAAGGGTAATTCGTTCGTTTCAATTTTTCTACCCCCCCCCCCCCCCCCGATTTTTATTGTGATTGAGTTTTGTAAAATAGTATTTACAAACAGTCCTTTCCGAAAACCGAAAATGAGAAATTATAGTGAGGAAAAATAAATCAAGTGTTAATCCCAATTAACACTTAAAATCAATCACCTATAACCCCCTATACCTAACAGGCGAACCTTTCAGTTTTAAATTAAAATTCATTTTACTGTGCATCCATTTATTTATTCACCTTACTTTATATCTTTTTGTACTGAAGACAGAGATTTTGAGAAGAGAGAGAGAGAGAGAGAGAGAGATCGATCAGCCCATTGGCGTGCATTTAATTCGTTTATACATGTAGCAACTGAACATTTCAAAGTCCGTACACTTCAATGAACTGCCGTATTCATACAATGTTCTATATGCACTGTTGCACCGTTTCGAAAATAGCTATTTTATATAGACGAGAAATCTACGGACTTTGGACCTTGCTATTCAAGTGGTGAATTTGTAAATGACCGAAATATGTACAAATTTCTACCTTGATCGAATTCGAATGACCTGTCCACTTTTTTTCTAGGTCAATTAAATTCCTTAAATTGGATATACTGTTTCTCAAGAAATTGCATTGAAAACAACTCGTATATATAGATATTATTGACTATAAAGTTGCTTTGGACATGGTTTTGTTTGGGTCCTTAGGCTTAGACATCTATGTATATATATAAATTTATGTACTTTGAATTTCGAACCCTTGTGGAATTAACTTTAACTTGTTTAAAGTTTTAATTTGAAAGATTTTATTTTTTTTAATTCAAAACCCATGCATTTAGCTTACAGAATTGAACACAAGACGCTATAAGTAAATGTGTGTAAAACCAGTCTTCCATTAAAGTCATTAAGAATATATAGCTTTAGGCGTCTCCCATATTAGGATTACTTGACCTTATTTGGAAAGGACTGATCATATTGGCTGCGCGTGATCTAGTGCGCGCAATACTCATTTTCTGATTTTTAAGATTTTATATTTCAGTTTTCCTGTTAAGAAATGTCAAATTCGAGGAAATGTCAGGTGAAGCAAAACATATGCATGATAAACATTTAATATTTGGTGCATCAAAATTACATGCAAATAAATTTAATTTCAAGCACATTTACTGAATTCAGAAATCTCTGGCACATTAAATATGCTTATATAAATATTGTCCTCGTGTGTATTATCATTCTTAATGTAAGCAGCTCAATAAAGTTACATTAATCTATTAAAAAGCAAAATATTGATTTTCAGATGTACATCAAATATTAGTGTTTATAATTCAAAGTGAAATTGATTCATAAATGTTCGGCATGAATAACCGACATTTCCTTCCTTTGGCCTCGTTTTCGATGTTTCCGCCTGCCATGTAGCCATCTGTCTCGCCAAGTTCACGGTTCGGTGCACATCGAAGGTCACTCGCCCATATTAGGAATTTGTAAACAAGTCTGGAAGGGTGATGCAATCTTTTAAAATGTACTAATTTGACTTCATTTCAATTTGTTTTTATGTAAAATCAAATAGCTTTATATTCATTTACCAACTGAAATAAAATTTTACTATCTAAATCATAAAAATCAGTTATGAAACACCAAATCGCCACCATGTTCCATATTAGGAAGAAACATGGCTACCATATTTGGACAAAGAAATCTTCCTAATATGGCACACGTCTTATCCTATTGTAAGCTTGTATAGTAATATCCGTTACTTGTGTGTGAATGAACCAGATCAAAACTTACAAAGAAGAATATAACTTCAGATATAAAAATAATCATGATAATAATTAAATTCATACTGGTAAAATTAAACACTGAACATGCTGAAAACATTTATTTCAGTCAAAATGGCGGCGGCATGTCCGCTGAAGTTTTTTATCTCATCAACACATTGTCATCAATTCTTTGTGGGAAAATTTGTCATATTTCTTCTCCAACTACATAGAGATTTTCAATAAAATGCATACATTTATTTATACTTTCATAGAATTATACATATAAACAAAAAATATTGATATAAAAATGTATTATTATGACAGATATGTAATGGGGACATGAAAACTATATGTTCTTGAGAGCTGGGAGATTCTCCAAAACTAACACAGTCTAGTAAAGTTCTGATATTGAAGCATATTTTGAAAGCCTGTTAAAAAAATTGTTACACGCGGCTTATTATAATTCAATAGAAATGTTTATTTGTATGCATGCTTGTCTAGTATATTTGAGGATATGGCGCGGCGACTCGTAGTAAATTATATAACTTATAGTCGTCAACAGTCGTGTAATCGTTTAGAGTCAGTCCTGTTTATGAATTGTACGTACATTAATGAATTCATGTTAGTTGTGAACCATAAGGTTGCAATTATAACCTTTGCATGTGAACATATTTGTTGTAAAACTATATGGTTGCAATCATATTGCTGATCATTGAATACTTTTAGTATATTCTGCTATTTTAAAAAGAAGTCACATATGAGTCCTGTGACAGTACGCTTTCTGCATGTATAATGAATGGAAACGCCATATTTGGAGGTCACCATATTTGGTAGTCAAAATTTTCCTAATATGGGACATCTATTTAACATATCACTTTTAATTCCCACAATTCGAGTTTTGTACAATGAAAATGTATAATAGAGTTAACATGGTAACAAAAGGCAAGTTGGTTATGATTTTTCGTAATCGTTAAAAACAGGGCGTGGCAGGCATCTGTATATTTCCTAGTTTAGCAGAATACACAAGTTGTAAACAAACTTACAATATGCTAAATCAGGGCCTCGTTTGTATATACAACAGGGCGATGAGCCGTGAATGGTATTTTCCAGACCTTCACGCGTGCAGTTTTTAAGGGATCGATGAAAGCTTGAGTTATCAACTCAAAATTCAACAATTCAATTTGTTTCATTCGTTCAACTCTGTAACAAAAACAGTTTTCATTTTAAAACTAAATTCTATAAAACTTTTAAAATATTCCAACCCTTATACCCAGCATGCCCAGTAAATCAATAAATGCGTTATATAGCTATAGAACATGAAAATATTCATGCAAATCAACATAATAAATGGGCAGTGTTTAAAATTAAAAATTTGCTACCACAAATCTTGAAATTTTCTTTGAGCAGATTCATGTTTATAAATATCGGGCTTAGCCCCCCCCCACTTTTTTTCCAAATATATACTTAGTATAGACATTGAACATATCTTCGTAGGTGCGCCCCCCACTTTCCACAGATACGTCTTCGTATAGGTTAAAAATGGGGAAAGTGGTGGTTTGGAAAAAAAATTTGTTGGTACTGAAGTTCGAACCTACCCCCCCCCCTCCCCCCCACGAAATAGAATTTTCGTGTTTGGGAAATGGACATTTCCCTTTTTTTTTTTTTTTTTTTGCTTGTCAGGTTTTTTTTTTTTTGAAGGTACAAAAATTTTTTTTTTACACTTAACCCCCCCACTTTCAATTTGCTTCCGACGCCAATGCTTATAACATTTAAAGTACTAATTAATATACTAGTAACAAGTTAATTTACACCCCACTCATGTATAAATGGTAGAAATAAATTTCATGTCTTTGACCAATGTGAAATGGAATTACAAACAACAATTTCAAAGAAATACACAATAACACACCTGAAATACATTGTTTGAACATCTTTATTACTTTCAAACAAATTAAGGAAAACAGTTTCCTCTCTAAATTTTTTGCTGTCAAGTACAAGTTCATTTGTACCATAAACTGGAAAAGGAAAGTCTTGTTTGAGGTGAACAACAATTTAATGTATTTTAAAACATATTAAATTTGAATGTTTAAGGTTAAAACATTGGACTCAGGTTAAAAATCACAGAATTTCTTAATGGTTCATATACAGTATAACTCTATTATTTAGAACTCACTTATAACGGAATCACATGTTTAAAGACTTTCTTGGAGAGATGTATTAAAGTGACTTCTATGTAACTGAGCTTTACTGTACATCCATTTCATACCACTAAAAACTTGATTATTTAAACCAGTAATTAACCCCCTTCCCCGCAGTCACAGTTTTTAACGCATGTACTATTTCCTCTTTCTAACGCAAAATCACGCATATACCGTTTCCCCGCAATCACGCATTTTCACGCACTTTAATAAGCTCATTTAATCTTCAATTTATGGCCTAATTCTTTCTATTTTAGACGTGCTGTAATCTCATAAAATAAGAAAAGTTATTTTCATATTGAAATGTTACGTCATAATATCATTTACACTAAACTTTAGAGGAACTTTTACCACGCAATAAAGTGCTTACGGGGAAATGGTAAATACATATTTCTTAGACGTGATAATTACGTATATTTTGCATAACAATTCAGTAAGTTGTAAAGAGTTAATGGTGAACTTCAATAGTGCATGACTGAATAAAATTTAATCGACATTCAATTATTCCTTCATATTACCATTCATTCATAAGAGGTATGTCAAACAACAAACAAACAAACAAACATTCATAAGAAACTAAACAAATGAAAATTGCTAATTTTATTGGCCATTATCCTGTCAAAAAAATAATGTTTGAATTTTTGCCATCTGGCCATTATTATATGCTCCTATTGAAAATTCAATCAAAGATTTACAGTAAAACTTGTCTGTGCTGAACATCACTTGGTTCCATAGAAATTGGTCAGATTAGAAAACTTTCCAGATTAAGCATTTAAAACATTTGAAATTAAAATGGACTCAAAGTTTTCAGTTTGGGGAGAGGGATGAAATAGGCTGATCCTGTTGCCAAATCCTATTTACTTCCACATCTGAGAATAATGTATTTTTTAAATTAAAATCTCCACTGTATTAGACAAGATTCCAGAATACAAAACACTTAAAATAAACAAGTTTGACTGTACTTAAAAAAAATTACATTTCAACTTGTTAATATAAGCCCATTTTAAATACCACACATGATTTCAATCATTTCTCAAAAGCCACTTCATGAACACAAAAATTATCTAATCATCAGCTATAATTAAATAATACCCTGTTTATTTTTTAATTAATAACAGAGATATGAGATCAGTTAATAATTTTTCAATTGGATGGAAGGCATTAAAATTCCATACTGAGAACAAGAAATAATTGAGGTTTCTGTCTGGTATCAGTTTTGCTACAATACAAACATTACATACATGATTGAACAATTTTTAATAACACATGTACATGTAAACTTATCACTTCCATGCATATAAATAATTCAATACATAACATAGTATCACCCAATCATATTTTCTATTTTGTATAAAAAAGAATTGTATGTCAATTAAGTCCAATGATCTAGTGTCTCTGGAAAATACTGCTTTAATATCACTGCAGTGTCATATACAGGTGACTCTTGATCTCTCGAAGTTCAAGGGACCGCAAGAAAAGTTCGAGAGATCGAAGGGTTCGAGAGATAGAAAGTAAATAAAATCCAGAATTTTCAGTTCCGATCATCGATCTTCTACTATTATAGATACCGGAAGTTTATGTAGATAAAGTCATTGCACGTTTTCAATCGTATTTTACAGGTAAATTACTTGATATCAACAACAATGATCGTATTTCGAATAAATAAAATGAGTTCCTAAAGTTTCAATATTTATTTGTTCTTATTTCAAGATTACAAGAAATCCGAATAGCAATTGTCGGTTTGTCTATTTCGCGGCTTAATCGGGTCTTCACTCGTGTTCACCAGATTTTTCTTAATCAGTATTCAGTCCTCAAGAAAGGAATTTTTGTGCAATATTTGTCACACTGGGCTTATGTAGACTCTAATGAAAGTTCATAGTTTATGGGAACTTAATGAAACGCGTGCAATCAAAACTTCGAGAGATAGAGAGTAAAATCCAATGACATATGTGTAACAGGACCCAGGTTTTGGTTCGAGAGATAGAGAACTTTGAGAGATAGAAGTTCGAGAGATCAGGAGTACCGGGGTAAATTTCCTTAGTTATAGAGAGGGAAAAAACGGGACCAGAGGTTCACTTCGAGAGATCGAGAACTTCAAGGGATCGGAGTTCGAGCCATCGAGAGTCACCTGTACATATTTTGGCAAAGTTTAAGATGTTTTAGATCACTGACTTTGAAATGTATGGATGACAACTTTATTAAAATGAACTTAATCTCTTACACAGAATCAGAAATCTATGCAGATATTGTCAAAACAAGGTACTATAAAAGCATTTAAAGCTTTTACTTCTGGCACTCCAGCTTTAAGTCAAGAGTCTTCAATATCTCCATTTCTTGTAAAATAGTTATTCAAATTCCATGTCATGAAATCTCCAAGAGAATTTTCACTAGAAAGGCTGTTCCAGGTGTATCAAAACCAGTCATCAAATTCAACTTTAAGGTCACAACTTATGTCAAGAACCATACTATGGTAAGCTACCAAGACAAACTTTCAGGTTTGTATATCACTTCTCTCCGAATCCAAGGCTTCCAACTATACAGGAACAATAGGGGCATGGGATCGCGATTGACCTGCACTCCATCACCATTTCACGGTCAGCTGCCGTGACCCACTTTAAGGTCTGTATAGCACCCCTCTCTGACTTTAAGGGGCATTGTCTGACTATGGAGTACCCTAGGGGTCATTAGATCAAGGTTGAACTGTATTCCGTTATCCACACTCTGGAACCTTGGATCCATATTCTGCTGTAGATATCCGCAGTAAAAATCCATAGCACTTTGTCTCTTTTTTATTCTAACACTTCCAAACCCTGTCCAACCATCCTGTAACAGAAATTCATACATTAAATTTATGGAACAAAATCATTTAAGAAATAAACAATGTTATTCAGGTTATTCAGTGAACAATGAGTTAATGTTATGAATAGCAAATGCTCTGCTGGCATATTCCATGATTTGATTAGAATTCAAAATCTTGTAATCGTAATGCTTTCCATGTCTGATCAGTAGGTTTGCATTATCCATTGCTTAATAATGTGAACAGCAAAGGCACAATCTTCGAATATTTTTGAAATGGATACCAGACGACATATTCAAGTACTTATTTAATACAAGAAACTGAGAGCAGAACTTTTTTTTCGACATACTGGTCTCCACATTACCATTTTATTTATCAGAAATATGATAAAATTTGCAATGCGGGCTGCGGACACATGCAGACCTGAGAACCATAGTTTCAATTTTTTTTGCCTTAACTTTTTAATACAATGTACTGCATTAATTATCAGCAGCCCCTTAAATGTAGCACTCACCCGACATTTGACCAGCAGTAGTTTGTGTGGTTTACTGTAAAACAATGCCCCCGCTGGTACCTCAGAACCGGGACAGTGAAATCTCTTCTTTACTGCTGCCTCCACACTGGAATCTGAACATAAGTCAATATAAGTAAAGTGAACTCTATGTGACACAGGAATACCAGTACTTATTATTACAGTAAAACTTCACTATTTCAAACTCAAAGGAGGAAAAACTTTGAGTTGTCCCAAGATTCAAGATACCCACGTTAAAAAACAATCTGAGAAATCATAAATTTTCATTGGGGTTTAATTTTCGTTGTTTTTGAGGTGCGAAGACACCCAAGAATTCATGTCCACCACGAAATGTTAAATATGACATACATTACTACTCAACAATTCTACACCCACGAAATCAAATCCCCACAAACCAGGAGTTTTTCCTCATACCATGAAAATTTGACCCCACGAAAATATGTGGTTTTACATTAAAGGAAAAGGGAGTCGATCTTCCAACTCATTTCAACATATCAGTGTTATCTGAGATATCAGTGTCTTATATGCTTAAGTTTGATTGTATTTGACTTACATTTTCATTCATGAGTTCAAAGATAATTGTTCCTCCTCACCAACACTTTTTTTTTTTTATAAGTCACCATTTAATAAATAGTAAATATTAACATGAAAAAGTTATTATTTACAACCTCTTTTCATTTATATTCCTACGAAATCACATAAATTGCCATTACAGTGTAAAGATATCTGCAAGTACTGGTGTAGCATAATATTTTGATACTGCGATATATTGAACCCAGCATGTTACAAACTGCCGTCACAATGAAATCTTCCACAAAACCGAAGCTTAATTCACAGAGCTTCAGGAGGACATTCGGCACACCTCGGCAAACCACAGTAATGTTTGATGTATTGAGGTCATATGTATTCCAAGTGAGATAACTCTAGGCTTGATAGTTCATTCTTTCAAATTTAATATGTTTTGATTTTAAGTTTGCTCCATATGGTTTATTGAATTTCATTTTGATCTCCTGTCTTCTTTAAAAATTGTTAAATTTACAGACAAATGTGAACAGAGGATCATTCTCTTCCACCAATCCACCCCAAATTAATTTTAAAAAAAAAATCTGAATTGAGAGAAAAAAAATTAGAATAGGAAATTCAAAGATTTAAATTGTTCTAAAAAAGTACAAGTATATGCTTTTTCTGAGTTTTTACTACAAACAGTTTTTATCATTGAGTACCTGCATTAAGGACATCAAAATCACATGGATCCTGGAGATTAATTTTTGTTTTGTTGAAGACTGTTTTTAGTGCTTCCTGTAAAATAAAGTTTGCCATAAATATCAAATAACTACATGTACATACATGTATTGCATGACAAAAATCAAGAAACTAGTGTTGCTTGGAAATCTATCAAAACTTATACATGTAGCAAAAGAATTTCTTATTGGCTCTATAACAACCTCCAAAAAAATTACATAATACCCCTGGTATATAAATATTGCATGTAGTTGAGTGTAACATTGAAAATTTTCACCCCAAGAAAACCATTGTCACACACTGTTTGTGATTTGAAGGGTGACTTATATATAATTTATATATTAAAATGTGTGAAATTTTCTCATTTACTCACTATCCCATTCACACATGTCAAATATTTATGTTATATTTACAGTACTGCCTTCTATACGTTTGTAAGGAATTTATTGTACAAAGAGGCGTGGCAGTCGAGTCAAAAAGAAATGTGTACAGCCACGCCTCTCTGTATAATAAATTCCTTACAAGCTTAAAAGATTTCTGTCTGATATAAATGTCTTGTGTCATGGTCATTTGCATAGTCACTCCCTCGACATCAAACTGCACGCGACATTACGTCACAGGCCTAGGTCCATCGTAGATGGTTCAAACAAATCAGAAAGTATGAAGGAGATGGTTGCATTGGAAAGTCAAGCGATGTTAAACAAGTGTGCAATTGTATTTGATGGATTAATTTAAGCAGTATGAATATTTCAAAAATCATAAGGTACTGGAATCTTGGATCCGTCTGCACCATGATCCGCTTCATTACTGTCACTACCGCTACGGTTGCATGTCCGGAGGAAATCCGAATGGAGTACCATAGCCACAGATGTCAATATTATGGAATGCATTGTGAAAAAGTCCGAATGCATACTTGTGTATTATACGAACATGTATCAGTGTGCATTTAACTCAAGGAACCCAGGAAACAGGTACTTTTAAGAAAGTCATCGTACTGCGCGTGTTTTCAATATTGTCAGATTTAAATTATCTGTTTTCATTGAATATACATGTTTTTTTGTGAAATTCTGTGTATTGTTTTTAGTTTTGTTTAAAGCAGTTAACTAATGAGTTTACATGTATTTCTCTTGAAAATGGTTTTCACGTAATTCAGCGATGGGCCGATTATATTAAAAAGTAATTAATTTTTGCTGTACAAAAAATGTAATTAATTAATTACAGCCAAGTACAATTACTTTTTGTTCAATTACCCCATCCCTGTCACGTATGCATTTATAGAGTGAAGGGGGGTGGGGTTAGATTCTGTGAGATTTCTCACGTTTCCTCTAGATATTGTGTTTAAGCTTACAGAAATTGAAGAAAAATTATTTAAAAACCATCGAATTCTGTCGGAAGTTATTGTACGGTTAATTGGAAGTTATTGTACGGCGAAGCTCCGCCCCCTAGAAGTTATAGTAAGTTGGAATTCAGCCAAAGGTTTTCTATCTGATTTAAAGTATGGCCAACCTCAAAAGAAAAAGTACCGCACCATGACACAATATATTATACTGAATGTTTTATACAAATACATATAACAGTGAACCATGCGCGCATAAATTCTGCGCAGTCGCTAGTTTTTGGAATATCACCCATCGTCAAGCACTGGTAACTGTGGCTACGCTAGAGGGCGTGGCTTTATTATTCAGCGGGTAATAGTGTTTTTTAACAAATGTTTCTTGACCAATCAGATTCAACTAATTTACATGAAAGTATAATATTATGACATAGTTTATCAGAAATATTTCATATCAAAGTGTGAATGTCCTCATCAACTCCCTATCTCATATACATATACTCACTATCTCATGGAGAGCTCGATGCTGCCTGTCTATACACTGGTAAGTCTGATTCTCCCAGTCTACAAAGGAGGCGTGGCGAGATATTTTGTGAGCTGAAATAAGAAATGTGTATTTAAAGGGAGGTAACTCTTGAAGCTGATATACAAGTTAAAAACCTTCATGATATAGAATTGCTAGACAAAGATTTAGACAAAGGAGGCATTGTGAGATATTTTGTAGGCTGAAAAAAAGAAATGTGTATTGTAAGGGAGGTAACTCTTGAAGCTGACGTACAAGTTAAAAGTCTTCATGATTTAGAATTTTTAGACAAATACGTTATCAGTCAGAGATATGTCAATTGAAAGATAGCCCACAACAATTAAGGATTATCAACCGTCTTCAGGTTCACAGAATCACTTTTATGAATCACAAATGAACTAAGGGCTATTTTGTAGTACTATGGAATTATTAAACTTCATGGGGGCCAATTTTCAAGGATTGCTTAAATTTTACAGGTTCTTGGGGATAACAATTTCAAGAAGTCTGTTATGCCTTCAAAAGAAAGTATGACTTTGCAACAAAAAATTAAGCCACTCCCAAATAAAATGATTCCACAGTGAGTTGCATAGCAATGGTAGAAACTAAATGCCTTAGCAAAAATATTACACACAGTAAGACATAAAAGAACAAAACAATGTTACCGTATGTGACCCCAATCTCACTCTGTTCCACGACACGCCGTTCCAGCTCTGGTAGATTAGACAAGGCCTCCATCATCTGTAAAACAACAGTTCAACAATAAAGTTATACAGGTAAGGTCCAAACCAGTATGACTGTTTACTAAATCACCTTTGATTGCAGAGAACTTTATTTAAACAATAAAATGCTTTCTTTGTTTGTTATTACTGGAATTAACAGAAGCAGCTGTTGCAGAAAAAATACATAACCCGCGTAAGCGTGTAATGTAATTTTTTTCTGCAATAGCTGCGACCCTTAATTCCAGTAATAACAAAAAAGAAAGACATTTTATTGTTTATATTTATATCTGTTTAAATAATCATTTAATTAAGGATTAAAAAGTTAAATTATTGTATTAATGATGCGAACGTCTTTATACGTTTCATTGATGGAACAGCCACTGATCAAGAAATCTGTACAGGCGACATGCCTAATGTAGTTCATGCAGTGATTAACGCAATGGGTTTTCCTAAGAAATAAAGGAGAAAATATTCAGTGGATGTAAATATTTTCTCGTAATTCAGGAGTCTATCTACAAAGTCAGTGGATTAAGCAAGCAAGAAATATTCACAAATTAAAAAATAGCTGCAAAACTTGAAGATATACATGCATTTTGCATGGGTAAAAATGTGATTTATAGCATCTCAGTACCAATAAGTGCTCCATGATCTCAGATAAAGAAAAATAAAATTCCTTTATTGGGAGTCACACTTTTGTACGAGACTCATCGGTCACGGTTGCCTAGTGGTAGAGCATTCACTTTGTGATAGGGATGCCCAGGTTTGATTCTCATTTGCAGTCCCGCGTCAAACCTAAGACATAAACATAGTTAGTGACTGTTCCTCTGCCAAGTGCTCAGCATCAGAAGCGAAAGTCATGGGTCTTTCGCATATGACTTTAAAGACGTAGGTCAAACGTCACGGTAGATGTTGGCAGGATAAAGAACTGCCCTGAGTGCCGAGTATGGGTCTAAATTTGAAGCCCTTCACTGGCATACGCTGACGTCTCTATATGAGTGAAAAATTCTCAAATGGAACACTGAACAATATACAATCAATCAATCTGAATGAAACTCACCACATTACATCCTCTCTCTGCCATTATTTGTCTCAATTCAGGGGCTGTAACTCTGTTTGGAATTGGATATTGCTTTTGTAACAAGATTGGTCCTATATCAAAGCTACAAAGGTACATATTTCAAATAAATTGAAGTACATGTAATAGAGAAAAATTAGAATTACAACATATCATGGGTATAGCTAAAAAGTAAGAATGCATGTAGGATCCATGTTTTGATATACAATGAGATTCTTCATAATTATTAACCATTAAAAAAAATTAAAAATGTAGCATATATTCATTCCTAAGATATCCTATACTTTGCCAATTTTTATACATTACATATATTGTTTTGGTCTACCTCTATGAAAGACTTTATCATAAGTCTCTAGTCTCTACACCTATCATCTTAATTTGGTCTATAACTATGACAGAGATACTAACAGACTTGTTTATAACACTCCATAAGAGAGGCAAAGAGATCCCTGGTTTAATAACACTTACTGTTTTAGTCTAAGTCTCTATGATAGAGATGCCTGGTTTTATAACACTGTCTGGCTGTTTTAGTCTGATCTCTATAATAAGATGCTTGTCTCTAAATCTAACACTTACTGATTTGCTCTGATCTCTATGATAGAGATATGCCTGGTTTTATAACACTAACTGCCCATCTCTATATCTAACACTCACTGTTTGGGTCTGATCTCTAAAATAGAGATGCTTGTCTCTATATCTAATAGGGGTGAAACGATACGCCTCCTTCACGGTTCGATAAGTATCGAAAAATTTGGTCTCGGTTCTGTTATTTTCGATACGATACATTTTTATAGAAGAAAACAGCTCAATGTTGTTTTATGCTACCTTTTACTTAATCTAGTAAAATAATTTATGTGCAAAATGGATAAAATGTATCAATTTAATTGATTTGACTGTTAAAAATTATTTTACAAACTAAAAGTCCACACAAACTTACGTTTCTGAACTAATTATACAGAAAAGCTTGTTTATACATTATGCCAAACCCGACTGAATGACGATCCTGACCGAAAAACGAACCGAACCGAAAGTAGAGATTTTGTACCATGTATCGAACCGAGAAAAAATACCGCGGTGAACCGATACAGTGGTGAACCGTTTCACTCCTAATATCTAACACTCACTGTTTTGGGCTGATCTCTAAAATAGAGATGCTTGTCTCTATATCTAACACTTACTGTTTTGGGCTGATCTCTACAATAGAGATGCTTGTCTCTATATCTAACACTTACTGTTTTGGGCTGATCTCTACAATAGAGATGCTTGTCTCTGTATCTAACACTTACTGTTTTGGGCTGATCTCTAAAATAGAGATGCTTGTCTCTATATCTAACGCTTACTGTTTTGGCTGATCTCTACAATAGAGATGCTTGTCTCTATATCTAACAATTACTGTTTCGGGCTGATCTCTAAAATAGAGATGCTTGTCTCTATATCTAACACTTACTGTTTGGGTCTGATCTCCATTATAGAGATTCCAGTCTCCGTGTCCCCATAAAGGATTGTGTGTTCTATGGGGGAAGCCCCTCTCCATCTGGGTAACAAGCTAGGGTGGACATTCAAGATTCCACTGAAAAACAGTGCTTAAAATGTAAATTTATATATGGACTATTTATTTTCACACCACCGATTTTGATCTAATGAACATGAAAACAAACACATTTTTGTTCCATAATTTTCTTTCTCACACTTTTTAAAGTATAAACATGATAAGATAAAGATCCTTTTTATGGATAGAAAAGGGAAGTGGCAGAAAACTTCTTAGAATCTTATTTGGGACAGTGAAATTTAATCCTATCATATATATTTCTGTGAATCTAAATGTAAAGAACAGATCAACAATCAATAAAATCTGCACAGCTTAGAATTCCTCAAAAATAAACAGTAAATCACTTACTACGGAAACATGTCTATAACCTTTGATGGAATTAGGAAACCAAATGATGCTAGGACTCCCACGTCGTACGTCAGGGGGTGTAACTCTGGCTGCCAGTCCAGGACCCTTAGCCCCTGATCCTCTGCGTACCGACGTACTGGAACCTTAGAAAGGGAGAAAATAAAATTTTTTACAAGAACATACATGTGCAGATACTCACATACCTACTGTGTAAGTATCACTGAGTGTGAGTAACCTCTGTTTGTGGATTTAATACATAATTATCACATGAAACTTATCCACAAAACATCTCCAGCCTTAATATATGCATTGGTTCTTATATTGATCTGTTATTCATACAAGTTTAATACGGTATACCTGTGAAATTATCAATGATGTCTCCATGCATATTTTAACATTTTAGTTGCTCATGAATTTCCTCTTCCACAAATTAAAACAATACACCATACCACAGTATTTCAAAACTCTGTAACTAAAGGGATTGACACTAACTCTAAAAACATAGTTGTCAGCAGGGCTAGCAGTAAGGTTTCTAATTTCTACTAGCCCTGTTCATGTATAAATTGTCCAGCAGCTGAAGGCTGGTGGTCGGGTCGCGAAGCGATGAGAGGGGTAGGTGCGGGAGGGGGCTAGGTGGTGGAGGGGGCTTCCCCCTCCTGCTGGTGGGGGTACAGGGGGTTGGGGGGGGTGAAAATAGAGATGTCAAATAGAGATGTCAAATCCTGCATTCTATCTGTATTTTGGGTAAAAATTGTCACTTTATGATTGTACCTAAGACATTTTTTCTATTCGAAAAATTCCACATTTATAATCATTTAGGATATTTCGAATCACCTTTAAAGTTTACAATTTGACTCACAAAAATAATAAATATGATGATAAAACATGTTTGAAAATGAATTTAACGATTATCAGGTATACATATTGTGTGTAAATTATAATTATTTTTATTGGTTTGAGTGAGTGTATGGTAAAATTTACAGTAGCCCTACAGGGCAAGTTTAAAGACATGTTCAGTAGCCCGACCTCAATATTCAGTTGTCCCGGGCAAGCGCGCTACCATAAGTGTCGAACATTGAACTAGTTCATACGACATAGATTTAGGTGCTGTTTTTGCTTTATAAAAATTTTAATTAAAATATTAGCTAAATCTTTAACTTTCAAATGTTACTGGAAGCGCCCTGGTAAAAATTAATAAACTTTCAAATTCAAACAAGTATTTGTAGTGTAAATTTTACGCTTGTAGAACAATTATATCTTTATGCCTTTTATCTGACAAACCTTGGAGCCTTTTTTCTTGGCTTTTATTGCCACCACTTCAAGAGTGTCTACTAGTCTGTCTTTTCCCTGGCTTAACCTACAGTACAAAGGAACATAGATTTCAGTAAATTATTTTGCTCACGATGTATTATGATCAATCACATAGAACTAAAGCTTACAGAAATAAGAAAAAAATAAAATATTAATCTTTTGTTTAATATGCAATTCATTGCCAAGATAGCAGTGAGATATAGGCAAATTATTCCGAAAAAAAATATATTGATCTCAAGCCATGGTATATTTTATTTATTGCGCACAAAAAAGGTCTCTGTTACCAATTGCAAATAATGAAAGATTTAAAAAAATTCTTTATCTTCTATTAAGTATCATAGTTGACATCAATCATATACATTATCTTTGAAACCAAATGGCAGTATAAATAAGTACATACAATATCAGGGTCAATTAACAACAATTATGAGGAATGTTTGGGTGTGGAAACATTGAAAGAATATGTTAGGAACACACTACCCGCATAAGTTGATGTTACAGTCACATTATACATTTTACACAGTAGCTTAATCATCTTTTGGGAGATGGTTTTCATTGTAAAGGTTTTCAACATCCTCAGAGAGAAATTTTGTACCAAAAAACAGCACTCCTTCTACATTTTACTCAGTAGCCTAACCAGCTTTTGGGAGATGGTTGGTGGGGTCATGTAGATGTTTGTCGGAATTTTGATTTTGCCCCAGGGGGTCAAATGGGGGTCCAAAACATGATTTTTTGAAAATTTGCTACAGTTTATCAGAGCCTAAATCGAATGTGCAGTAAGGTTTTGGAGATTTTGCCCCGATGAAAAGTAATTTGCACAAATCCACTGAACATTTTACCCTAGCTAACCAGCATTTATGGGGTCATGTAGATAAAAGCATTGTTGCATTTTCTTATTGGCTGATTGTCCTGTTTTTGAAGCTTTTGGGAATGGTTTGAAGATGTGCTAAGGTTTTGGAACATGCTGAAAAGCAAAAATTCTGATGCAAAAAGCTCAGTCTTGGATTTCAACACAGGTGGGGCATGTAGATATAAGGTTTTGTCTTTTGGGAATAAATGCCATGTTCCCTAACTCCTTCTACATTTTATCAGCCTAACCATTCTTTTGGGAGATGGTTGGTGGGGTCATGTAGATGTGCAGTAACTTTCGGAATTTTGCCTCTGTCAAAATGACGTTTTTTGCAAAAAGCTCCGTCTTCCCTGAACTCCTCTTACATTTTATAGCCTAACCAGCTTTTGGGAGATTTTGGTGGGGTCATGTAGATGTGCAGTAAGGTTTTGGAATTTTGATTTTGTCCTGTAACCTACGTTTTTTAAAAAATCCCAAACTCCTCTTACATTTTATTCAGCAGCCTAATCATATTTTAGGAGATGGTTGGTATATGGTATAGTTATTTTGGCAAATAATTAAATAAACATCTATACACCACATTTTATTCAGCATCCTAATCATCTTTGGGAGATGGTTTTTTGTAGATGTGCAGTTGTCATTTGCCCGGGGGCTAAAAGTATAAAGTTTTTTATGGTATAATCTCTTTTTTGTTTTAAACAGTGGTCTTATCATGGGAGAGTTCACTCTTTTGAAATTTTGTTAAAACATCAAGGCAAGGGGTAAAAAATCATAGCATGTTGGGAGCCTCTTGTTATGGGTAATGTTCACTTGAAATGTGAAAGTCAAATCTCTTCTCAATGAAAAGGAAATACAACATTAATGAAAACTAAGTTAAACTTCAAGGTCAAGGTCACAGAGTCAAAAAGTCATGATACATTTTGGAAGGTCTTATCACAGGTAATAAAATGCCCTTTCATTTATCTTTCAAAATGATCAATTCAAAGCAATTAATTTTTTAAGGAAATTATCAAACTTCAAGATCATGGGTAATGAAAATCATAGTGTATGTAGAATGGTATTGTCCCATTTAATAAATACACATGTTTAATATAAAAGTCCTATCTCTTCTCATTCAAAATATACGACCATGATGACCAAGGTTAAATTTATTGTGACAGATGGGCAGATTGACAAACAAATGAGATTTAATGTACCCTACCTTTAGCAAAAATGGGGACAATAAATGTCTTTGCTGTTCTTGAGAAGAAGATTTATGTTGGAACAAGATGTGTTTGTGAAACACTACGCGCCCGGCGGCAACAAAGTTAAAAAAATCTTCTTTTAGCATATTGATCACAGTCAAGGTCACAAGGTCATTGACCATGGTGTCATTCGAAAGAACTTAATCAGTGGAGTATGCGTACTAAATATGAAGTCCCTATCTCCTATGGTTCAAAAGTTGTGGCAAAAAGTGTAAAGAGCTATTTTTAGCATATCCGTCACAGTCAAGGTCACAAGATCATTGACCTTGCCGTCGTTTGAAAGGACTTTATCGGTGGAGTATGCATATCAAATATGAAGTCCCTATCTCCTATGGTTCAAAAGTTATGACAAACAGTGGAAAAAGCTATTTTTAGAATATAGGTCACAGTCAAGGTCACAAAGTCATTGACCATGGTGTCATTTGGAAGAACTTAATCGGTGGAGTATGCATACCAAATATGAAGTCCTTATCTCTGATGGTTCAAAAGTTATGGCAAAAAGTGTAAAAAGCTATTTTTAGCATATAGGTCACAGTCAAAGTCACAAGATCATTGACCTTGATGTCATTTGAAAGGACTCTATTAGTGGAGTATGCATACCAAATATGAAGTCCCTATCTCCTATGGTTCAAAAGTTATGACAAACAGTGGAAAAAGCTATTTTTAGCATATAAGTCTTAGTCAAGGTCACAAGGTCATTGACCTTGAAGTCATTTGAAAGGACTTTATTAGTGGAGTATGCTTACCAAATATGAAGTCTCTATCCCTTATTGTTCAAAAGTTATGGCCAAGGTTAAAGTTGACAAACAGACAAACAGATAAACAGACAAACAGACAGGACAAAAACAATATACCCCCGGGATCATCCGGGCGCTTTTGCATATTTAAATGTAATTGGTTGAAATTAGCCCAGTGGTTCTTAAGAAGTTAATGTGAAAAGTTTGCAGATAAACAGATGGACAACAGAAATCAGTACATTTCAGAAAACAGTATGCTTATAAATAGTTAATCAAGGTGCTTTGGGTAGCAAAATAAAGCTAAACTGGTATATCTAATTCATCCGCAGAGCTTAGTATATTTCAATATGCACAACCTTTTCAACTCTTATAATTGTTTTTTAAAATTTATATCACCATGTCTCATTCAAGGGAGAACTAGAGATATGACCAGATGTATATCTGTTGAATATAAAATATGTACATGTATTCTGTGTTTTTTTTAGTAATTTGTTTGTTTGTTGTGACAGCAACTGTTATGGCAGCTTTTGGCAAAGGTTGAAGTTTCTCAAATGTAAGTCAAACTCCAAGGTCAAGGTCAAAGGGTCTAAATTGTTGGTATCAAAGGGAAAGTCTTGTCACAAGGAATACAAATGTGAAAAAAGGGAGAAATCCCTAGAACTTCCTCACCTGTTCAAAAGTTATTGCCAAGGTTAAAGTTAAATTGGATTCAACTCTAAGGTCTAGGTCAAAAATAATTATACCTGTTGAAAGTTCACAATGATTACACATGTAAGAGCATGAAAGTCCTAGCACCACCTGTTCAAAACTTACGCCAAGTTCAAGGTATTTTTCTTGTAAAACAAACTCCAAGGTCAAGAGATCAAGAGGTCAAAATTGGTGGTACCCATTAAAAGGTTTTGCCAAAAGAAATTTACCTATGAAATATTGAAGCCATGTGTATAGCCCAATCCACTTAAAAAATATGGGCAAGGTTAAAGTTTCCGTGGACAAACAAAAATACATAAACATAGGAAACAAAATATGTATAAATAGTCAAATGAAAAAATTTTCTACTATTATGGAGTCAGAAGATCAATTGTCATTTCAGGTACAGGGATAGTGGCTAAGAAACCCCCCCCCCCCGGAATTAGCAGTTATTTAAATAAGACTATATATGTACTGTAGAGAATAAAAATGACTTTGGACATCCTCCCCCTTAGAAAACAGGGACTCCACCATCATTGTTTTTATTATTATTTTTTATTTCCATCTCAGGGAATCTTGGGCTGATTTTTTGGACTGAGGTGTGACCCCCCCCCCCCCCCCCCCCCCTTTCTGAAAAAAAAATTCTGGATCTGCGTCTGTTATATAGCCTACTGAATGTCCGCAACGGGAGATAACTTGACAATGTGAAATTTGTCGACTGTGGCATGCGATGATCTTAGACCATGTTGACCCTTTTTGAACTTCAACCTAACCATTTGCATTTATTTATTTTTATGCAATCTATACTAAATCTTGTACTTACCGAATGTCATAGGTCGTGACAACGAATTCATGAAATATAATCCATATAATCCAATTAAAACACAAATGATTTTAACTGACCACACTGCATCGTCAGCATACATGTGCTAAATAATCTCATTCGACAAACCTTTGCTGATTCCGTTGCCAGTATGAATTGGCCGAGGTGTGCCGAGAGGTGATATCTATAAATATGATAATGGGTGACGCAAACCCAATGTGAATGTAAAAAATAAAACTGTTTAGTACAAGAACAAATTTCAAACTATCATAATAAACTAAACTTTGTTTTTAAAAAAAGTGAGAGTGAGAGAGAGAGAGAGAGAGAGAGAGAGAGTGTGTGTGTGTGTGGGGGGGGGGGAGGAGATAGGCATTGACAAATTAATCGGGTTGTATTTTCAATGGGTTTTTTTCCCGACCAAATACTAAAATCAGTTTGCACATTTTGATAAATTCATCAAAAACGCTTTGTACTAAAATAATATTTTATGTCGTTGAGAAAGTAAATTTAAAAAGTTCCAAATTATGGGAAAATTATTTATTTGAATCTAATTAAGTAATTCACTTCAATCATTAATTAAATTCTGTTATTTCAGACTGGTTATGAATTAAGTATTTTAAAATACATATGTGAGGCTCAGAGTTGATATGGTCATCTGAAAATTTTATGTTCAATTTGACGAATACATGTACGGTGATAATTATAGAATTATTTTGACTTCTTCCTTGGAAAGTCCAATATGAATGAGTGTATATTTAGAGGCAAACACCATAGTGCGGGTATTACTGTCTCATGACAGCATCTAGTTTGAGATTACAGTTTTAAAAACGGAGAAATAAATCGAGAACAGAGCGCACTTTTTTGTGCGCAATAAATATACAGTTTTTTCAATGGGTGGCACTGTAGCTCTCCGGTCTATCAATATATTTTTTTCGGAGAGCTACAGATCTGCAGCTATGAGATAGGCAAATTATTTACATTGTCTCAAGCCATGGTTTTGAGTATGCTCATTATAAGGTCTCTGTTACCTTGATCATTACAATCAATCATACAACAGCCAACTCTGAGTATATGTATGATCAATTTTTAAATTGGAGCTTGCTACACACTGGTAAGTTGATGTTACAGAGAATCTGATACAGAGCAATGCCTACCTGTTTTCATTTAAAGTTTTCAACATCCTCAGTGAAAAATTATCTGTACCAAAAAACAGCACCCTCCATGGTGGCTTAGGTCTGGGTAGATGCTTTGTCACTGACATTCGTCCAAAACATGACTTTTTGAAAATTTGCTGCTTATCAGAAAATCGAATGGAAGACGATGAAATGTAACTTGCACAAATCCATTGAAAGTTACCTGACTCCCTTTGAATTATCATTAAAGCATTGTTGCATTTTCTTGTTGGCTGGTTGTCCTGTTTTTGAAAACTTTGAAGTGTATTCTTTGAACACGTTGAAAAGCAAACATTTTTATGAAAAGATGTGTATTTCAACACAGGCTGCAAATATATCTGTCTTTTTGGGATAAATGCCATGTTGTTACTCTTTCATGATTCTCTTGGGATAATGTAAACCGCTTCTGTCAAAACATTTTTGACCTTTCCCCTGGTGAATTTTATCAGTTTTTACACATTCTTTGACATGTCCTTCAACCTAGAAAAAGTATCAAATATTTATGGTCTAGTTATTTTGGCAAATAATTAAATACATATCTATAAACCAATGATTCAACGACTGTTTTTTCTGCATTGTCATTTCCTAAAAGCATAAAGATGGTGTAAGTTGGTTGATAAGCGTGTTTCATAAGCAATGAAAAAGTCGAGGATATTCGGACTAAGGTTATCATGCCGGTCTTACAGACTGAAAATCTGCCTGACACTGAAAAAAATAGTGAATAAGAAAGTTTGTATTAATCATGATCAGCAAGAATATGCCAATCAGCTAAAATAAATGCCCAAAAGCCTACTTTTTACACCCTTTCTCAACGTCAATGGTCTGCTCAAAATGCGGAACTCACGATTTCAAGCTAGAGGTGTTCCGAAAAAGTTACGAAACTAAATTTTAACAAATTTCAAAAAGGTGATGAATAAAAATAATGACCCTTATTAGCGGTTCGCATTATTTTTTTTACTTGATTTTGAATAATTTTACTAAATATTCTGAACTTTATCAGAAATTAAAGTTAAATACGCAGATGCGACTAGCATACTTAAACTATTTTTAGAGTGACAGGTGTTTTGCGCGTTCGTCACTTTGTGTGTGATTTTGATCGGCGACTTGACATTGACAGAATGTGATGTAGAATTTTTGTGAATGTTCATTTAGTATTCCTCAACTTTAGTAACTGTTATTCATTTGTGACAGTAGGAAGGTAAAAAGTTTTGTCACTGTACCCTATTCATTTTTTTATGACAACGGAAGTAAGGGGATTTGACAGAAGTCAAAAAAGATGAATTCAAAAAATAACTGTAATTCCCATAACTAGTTATTTTCTCTTTATTCTATCATCTGTGTACAATAATGAATATTCTTATAAATGGTGCAAATGGTAAGCTTCCTAGGCAAAAGGCTAATGGTGACGGAGTAAATACAAAAATCAATATTTTGAAATTCATGGAGGAGCAAGAGAACAATGTTTATATTAAAAGCAGTTAACTTTTGATTAATTGCAAAAGCAAACAAAAATTTACACCCCATTAAAATTTTCCACACACTACACAGTATCACTGTGAAAGTAATTGGTAATCGTCAAAGTGTTTTCAAATTTTCATTTTAGATTAACACAGATCAGGATTGGTTTCAACAGACTGAAGTATAGGTGTCCATTATGGGTGCAGAAGACCAGTATGACTTTATATGGAAAGGTAATTAATGTGTTCCCAGCATGACAAACATGTATGGAGGATTCTATTTTAAATTTGGAAGTCTGACTCTGTATTCTGAGCAGAAAGCATTAAGATTTGAACATTTTTTATTTTTATTCAGTGGTTCTGGTGGGGGATTCTGGTGTAGGGAAAACAAACCTCCTGTCCCGATTTACGAGGAATGAGTTCAATGCAGAGAGCAAGACCACCATTGGAGTCGAGTTTGCCACAAGGTGCATACACCATTGACTTAGGTCTTTTCCTAATGTATGGTAATAGAAGATATCTCTAATAATGCAATAAATTTTCAAGGTTCAAAATTACATTTTTTTGTATTTTCCTGAAAAGTCTTAAGTGAATATTTGTCTGAGAGTGATAATTTTTCCCATATATTTGAAATAAATTTATTTGAAATGATAAACTCTGTTAACTATTTGATTTTTTTTTCAATTTGTCCACAAACAAATTAGTTTATTCATTGACAATCTATATACATATTATAATGTTTTATTTAGAAATGTTCAGATCCGAGGTAAGACCGTGCGGGCTCAGATCTGGGATACGGCAGGACAGGAAAGATACAGGGCGATAACTAGTGTGTGAGTATCGATTGTGTCCTTGAAAAATATATAAATTGATATATTTAAAATAAGAGGCAATCACCAGGATAGGAATTGTTTGCCTAATCATGAATTAGCATTACATACGCCCAGGCCCTGTATTGTATTTATAAAACAAATTCTTAGTGGTATTTATAAATTAGCACATTGTTGTCTGCACTAAAGCTTCTAAAATATATATATGGTAAGGCCAAAGTTATTTTACTTTAGGTTTACGGATTTTTTCAACCAAAATGTCCATTGGGTGGCGACAAAATAAAAATAAAAATAATTTTAAACTTCTTTAAAACGGAACATCACTGATTTAAAAAAAAAACAAAAAACACAACCCCTCTTTTGAATTGCTAAAAATTAGAAACATTTCCTGAAATTTGAAAAAATTATTTGTAGTAAAATGAGAATTAAATAAAAGGAACTACAAATGATTTTACTGAAGGTTTACTTCAGATCTTATTTGAAATCTTTAAAAAAAAAGATCTCTTTTAAAAATTAAAGATGTTGATCATAGAATATTGGGAACATGATTTATTCATTTTTTTTTTTTTTACAAAAAAAAAAAAACAAAAAACCAAAAAAAAAAAAAAACAACTAATTTACTTTGATTTAGATTCATAGTCTTGTAAACTGTATTATATTAATTATGAAGACGAAGTCACAGATTATCTTTAAATCTTTAAGTGAAACCCTACACTGTTGCCTATTTCCTTTTATTAGCATGACCTTTTAGCTACATGTATACCAACGGCGGTCAAAGTAAAATGTCAACAAGGCATGTATCTGGGACCTATAACCATGAAAACAATCTATTTATCTGGTTATATTGATTTTTACATTTTTTCATACACTTATCACAAAATTTAGCATGTGTCTGGGTTTGGGAAATAAAATTCAAGTTTAAAAAACGCACATAGTCTTTGTGTGCAATTTCTACAATTATTGTTCAGTTTCAACAACTGATTTATTAATTCCTTACTTTTGAATTGGAAGAAAAATATTACCAATGGGAAAAAATAGCGAAGTTATGCCACTGAAACAGCTGATATTTGGTGGTTATTTTTATTTCCATAAAAATCATACAAGATTACGTTTTTAACAGGACTCTTTGGGGAAAAGAAATATTGCATCTTGCTCATTCTCCGTGAAAAATTTTGGACATCGTCTTATTCCAAACATTTTAACTGCACTTTAAAATATAGACATGCTTGCCGCCATGTTTATACATTTCTGTTTATAGTCACTAAAACGTTTGAAAGAATGAGACGTTTTATTACATGTTTGGGACTCAGACGCATTATAAATATTAAAACCCTGATGATCAGGCATGAATTTTTCGGAAAATTATCGAAAGTGGTGATAAAATCCATTATTTTTATTTTCTAGACCTTGAAAAAATCGGGTCGGCGGATCCGTAAACCGAAAGATATAAAAACTGTGGCCTAAGGAAACAAATGTCTGGATAAAGCAGGCTAGACAGTACATTGCTATTTATCATTAAATTGACCTTTAACCTTTGAACTTGTAGATACTACAGAGGTGCTGTAGGGGCACTTGTCCTTTATGACATCACAAAGCCCCAGACGTTTGAAAACCTAGATAAATGGATCAGCGAGCTAAAGGAGCATGCCGATCCCTCTGTGTGTATAATGATAGTAGGAAATAAAACGGACCTGAAGTCCCAGAGGATCGTATCAACGGAGGAGGGCCGAACACTAGCAGGTAAGTACATTTTGTGTGTATTACTGAGGGCAATAAAACAGACCAAAAGTCATAGAGGGTCATACCAATAGAGGAGGGTTGAACACTAGCAGGTATATACATTCTGTGTGTATTACAGAGGGCAATAAAATGGACTTGAAGTCCTAGAGGGTCGTATCAATAGAAAAGGGCCAAACACTCACACATAAGTACATTTTGTGTGTATTAATGATGGGGTGGGGCAATAAAATGGACCTGAAGTCCCAGAGAAGCGTGTCAACAGAGGAGGGCAGAACACTAGCAGGTAAGTTCATTTTGTGTTTATAACCGAGGGCAATAAAACGGACCTGAAGTCACGGAGGGTCGTATTAACAGAAGAGGGACGAACATTCTGTTTGTATTACAGAGGGCAATTAAACAGACCATGCCCCAAGACCATAAACTGAGAAAAAAATTGTCAAATTTTCAAATCAGTGTAACTTTTGAAATAAATTTCAAAATTGATAATGCAAAATTTTTAAGTTATGTTGAGATTTTTAAAAGATAAATCTTTTATCCAATGAAATGATGTGTTACAACTAAGATTATTACAAGATAAATGCACTGTTATAATTCTATTCAATAGATGCTACACACATAGAGTTGAACTTTGGTATCTTGAATTCACATTTAAAAGAAGTGACCATATGCTAATTAGAGATATAAAAAAGCTTTCAAATTTGTTCAAAAGGAATCAGCTTAACTCTATTATATTGTGCAGGTTCTTTTCTACATACAGCTGAAACAAGTTTTGTGTAATAAAAAAGTAACTATAAAATCATGCTTGATGATACACTAGTTTCTCTTTCTTTCAGAAAAATACCACTATTCTTTCATAGAAACCTCAGCTTTAGATGCCTCCAATGTTGGGGAGGCCTTTAACAATCTATTAGTTGGTAAGTGAATATTGAATCGCTATAAATATTGAAATTTATTTTGGACCTCATAGGAGGTGAAAAAGCTACTTAATAACAAAAGTACAGACCTGTTTACTCTTACGATTTTGCCGTATTTTATACGGATTTTTAGTACAAAATACGTCTCACGTTATGATGTTATAAAAATACGGAAATACATTTCTTCGGAATTTTCGCATTAAAAGTTTTCGTTATGTTCCTTTTAGAAATCAAATTGATTGAGTATACGTTGTTTAACGTCCCTCTCTCGAATCTGTCATTTCTATGGAGACGCCACTACTTGCCGGTGGAGAACTGCAAATTTTTCCTCTACTCGGGCCATTGAGCGGGGAGGGGTCTTTTTCGTGCAAGCACCTACTGCGTCCTTACTTCGCTACTCTAGAGCAGACGCTCTAACCACTCTGCCACGCCGGCGACTAAGTAATCAGAAAAAACAGTCTTTCTCCATAAATATGTAAAATCAATGAAAAATGGAATCTCACTGGCAAATGTCAAATCTCACGGAAAAATTTCATCAAAATTACTGAGAAACAACGATATGGGTAAACAGGTCTGAAAGTAGTATAGAAATTTGTTGCATTTTTAAAATTTCATTAATTGCAGTAAAATCAGTTAATCAGTAAATGCCAAGAAAAATGGAAAGGTGTTCTTTAAACTTCCCTATCATGCTATTAAATGAATCAAAACCAGGCAAGAATTCAGCTTTGGTCAATTTTGATGTCTGAGTGAGTCATTTTGCGATGATAAGACAAGTACTTTGTGTAATCTGCAGAATTTTATGTGAAAGTATTATTATGTCTTGGCCATCTTTCATTATAATTTCACAAAGAGGATGTATCATTATATGCATTAATATTCGGAAGAAATTCATTTCATTTTTTCATTTACAGTAATTTTAAGAACAAATCAAAAAGTAATAGATTTTTCAATAGACAATAAATAAAGAAGCTAAATTTTTCAGACATATTCAAGATACAGACAGAATCCGAGAAATCGGACTCTTCATCACGGATAGTACCCCAGGAAAACAAGGGGGGACAGGAACAGGGAAGTCGCTGTGCGTGTTAGGATAAGTTTGGATTCTTGTGGTGCTAACTGAACAACAGACAGACAAACAAACCAAAGGCTGGGTCCAAAGTCAACAATAATAACAGATAAACAGATGGACCATATGATGGGACCAGATCGATGTCAATTACCATATAAGTAGAAATTTTTAGCAAGGATTAAATTTTGGCATTATTAGCGAGGTTGCTGAGATCGCTAAAATTTGATAGCGCTGAAAATAAATTGTGTTATATTTGTAATAGGTTCTTTAGTGATCATTTTAAAATTGCTATAATTAAATCTTGTTAAAAATATCAATTTTTAAGGACAAATCATTTAATTTGTATCTCGCTAAAATTTCCACTTATACGGTATATAAAATTGTGCAAATTTTATCATAGCTTTGATGCACAATGGCATGAATTAACATCAAGCTTATTTTATCTTCAGTTCTTCATATATAATAATGCATTGCTTGATTTTAATAAGCATTGCTATTTAAGTGTTGGTGATGAGTTGACTTTTCTCTTTGATTTGAATGAGATATATGTATGTTGTTTTGGATGGATTTTACAAGTGAATTGTCTTTTAATAGTCTTTCACAGGTTTGTGATTCAACATTTACAAGAAAAAATTCTCCTGAGCTTCCCAATGTAAACTTTACGTTTCTAAAGAAGCTTTCTCTATATTGATGACAATATTTTGTTTTTAATTATTTTTTCTAAACTTCAGGTGGTTGTGCTAGTTGGTTGTGAGAGAGTTAGGTCCCTTTAATACTCTTAATGTAATTGAATGTTCAAATGACCACCTTTTTCCTGAATAAAATTGACTAAAATGACAATTGAATGGAGTTTAAGTGAGTGTAAACATTCAGAAAATATTGTTTTTGTAAACATTTTACAGTTTCTTATACAAATTTATGAACAAAAAATTAGCTGTAAGCTAATTTACAAAATTTAAAAAAAAAAAAAGGATCAAATCAATTTCAGCGTCTCCTGAATAATTATTGTTTTCTAAATGTAATTGTTTTTCTTTATATGTATACTGTATGTCCTATATTTGAATGGTAGAATATATTTCTGTTTACTTAAATTAATCATAGTTCCTTAGCCCTAATTAGGTTGTTGGAGTTAATTGGCAAACCTTTTTCTGAAATATTATGCTAGCTGTGATTTATTCAGGTTGTGAAGTATATGTTATTAAGCATGCAACATAAATTATTTTGTTTATATGAATTTAATGTGATGACTTATTTGCAATTTTTGGAAAAATATGATTTTTTTATATCTTTGACAAATTCAACAAAATTATTTCATATATATTAATTTACATGAAATTTAATAATTTTTTTTAGCAAAATCTATTAAAAATGTGATACATACAAAGTCTTATAAAAAATAAAATGACAGATTTTTATAGCATTTGTGTTAGTATATCGAACATTTGGTAGAATTGTTTCTGAATAAAATGTTAATTAAGCAGGCTTACTAACAAAATTTAGTCAAATAGATATTTATTGCATGAAAGTTATTACAGTCAAACTCGGTTAAAGTGAAGTCCCTAGGACCTGTGAAATTACTTCGCTATATCCGTAAATTTTTTATATATGTATAGGGAATTCGTTAAATTTATATAGTTGGACATCCAAGATAAATTCGCTATATCAGTAAATTTGCAATATCCATGTTCGTACTAAACAAGTTTAGCTGTTACTCCTGGTTCCAAGCTCAGTGAAGACCCCATGTCATGATGTGCTTTTAATTTGTTTTTTTTCAAATTTCTAAGTGAAAATTAATTTTGCCAGGCCTGAGATTTCTTCTTCAGTGATTTACAAAACATATCAAAGGATTTATTTTTGAATATATTGACTGGCATGTAACTTTTTGTGACTTTCTTTTAATATTTTTCCTTTACATCAGTCTTCAAACATGTGCTTTGACCATAGAATGTTACTTGAAGTTCTGATTTAAAAAGTGTTTTTTTCATTAGGGACCAAAATTTTAGTGAATGGGCTACAGTTAAAAAATATTATTACCCTATATACTCACCTATAAGTCAGATTTTGGGGAGTTAAACAGTGGTCCAAAACTATATATCCGACTTAAAGGCGAGATATAAAAATATTGTATTTTAGAAGGCCAATCTTTCTAACATAGCCTTCAAAAATACAATTGACTTATAGGCGGACGGACATAAAGATGAGTAAATACGTTAATGTTGGGACCAAAGTGTATATTTTTTTTGTTATATATAGTCGCTTATTTACAACCAAGAATTGTATTTGGCGTTCTTAAATGAAATAATTGTTATGACTGTAAAAACTTTTGTAACCATGCAAACAGCTGCAGGTAAATGAACTTAGTGACATTGTATCATGGAAAGAGAGAGTATATGGGTAGCATTGTGTACCCACATCATTTAAATATTATTTTAAATTCAAGTATGGGGATTATAAAAAATAAGTTTTTCATTTAATACAATGGGGGAAAATGCACATAACAAGCAAAACATTCAAACAAAACTAAAGAATCAGATAATTAAACTACTATTGTCTTCCTTTTTTGGCAATTTTTTCTGTCGTATTTAATCTTTTATGCTTTGTTTACTTTGACTCTGTTTTTGACATATAGATATATGATTGTGTATTTTATTCTTGATATATGCAGAGTATGTGTGTGTATGTTTTGGAGAGTATTTATTGTAAAATTATCAACATATCTAAATATTTAAGATTTCATATAAGGGGTTCATAAAAAATGGATAAGACGAAAAAAATATTATACCAAACAAAATACCCGACCTAATAGAAATATATTCTTTTAATATCTAATAAAAACATCTATTACCATTTTTAAAAAGGGAAAACTCAATTTTCTGTTTTACATTGGAAAAATTGTAAATTGAGGCCAAAAAATATTAATTTCTTGGTTCTCAGGCCTTCCCTCATCTCTTCCAAGGGCGCCTCATTGACCCTTTTTATTGCTAAATCAATAAAATAAAAACAACAAATCACCTCCCTCATCATTTTTTGAGGTTTTGTACAATGTAAAAAGCTGCCTCATCATGTTTTGGGGGCAATAAAAAGTAAAAAAAAAATGCCTCCCTCCCTCATCATATTTCTTGAAAAAAGGCCTGAGAACCAAGGAATTAATTTTGCATGGCCTGAGATACCCCTTTTCAAATATTTCAATGAAAATGATCAATGCGGCACTTTTTGTCCTGATGCGGCGGTGTCTAAGAAACTATTGATTATTTTTTTTTTTGGCCTTGTAGATTAACATTCTTCTCTCTCCCCCATAGTTAGAAATTCAAGAAAGCAAAAATCTAAAAGTGATTGTTTCTTTGGGAATTATATTATCTTTCAATTTCTAATCATAAAAGTATTCCAGTTTTAAAGACAAGCTTGGAAATTTTCCTTCATTTACAGCCTGATGATACAGTCTTTATAGAGAAAAGGTTTAGGAATAGAAAATTATTATTTACTTTAAAAGAGTTATTTTTGTGTTCATTTTTTTTTTTTATAATGAACAAATTTAATGATAAAGATTATTTTTAAAAAAGAAAATCATACATTTTTTAGAGTGTATAAATGAAATATACATGCATATTTGGGAAAGTAATGAATAAATAATGAAATTTCATTTACTGCTTGTAAAATGTATATGTTGAACAATAGCTTGTCATTTATTGAATCCCAGATACTAATTACTGAATATAATGTTGCATTCATTTCAGTTAAACGTACTTACTAGATAAACATCATAAGGTAAAAGTTAGAATGAAAGAACAGTGGTTGACTGGATTTTGTTGTGTGATATGAATTCTATTCATTGTTTGTAATGTTACAATGTTTCACATCTCTGTGAATGTGATAGTTGCATAAAAAACTCTTCTACATACAACATTATTATTTTATTAGTCCCCTACCGGTGAAACCGGGGGGATGTCCTCTCAGATTATAATGGTTTCCTCTGCGAATCACGTGTCCGTCCGTCCGTCTAGCTGTCCGTCTGTCTGTCCCCGTCAGTCTGTCCCACTTAGTTTTCCACACTTTTTTTCTAAACGCTTGCAGATATTGAGCTGAATTTTGGTATGTGAGTGTATCTTAATGAGTTACAGATCAAGTTTGAATTTTGCTTCGCTTCATTGATTTTTGACATAATTATGGCATTTTGAATATTTTTCATAATCGCTTAATTGAGATCGGGTTCGAACTGCGCTAACTTCCGATTGTCGACAAAAATATGAAGCGAGGAAAGGACAGTGGAGAAATGAGTTGAATTTTCGTCTTAATGTGGATTATTTTATTAGTTTTAAGGCATTTACAACTTGAAAATCTTTCAGTTTTACCTTGAACATGACTTTTGCATATTATAAAATGACATCCTGAAGAAAAAGGGGAGCCCGGTAGGGGACATGTATTGCTTATGCAATACTCTCAGAATGTTTGTTTAGAATTAAATTTTTATACGAGGGGTGATCAAAAAGTTCGCGAACTAATTGAATAACTTCCATATAAGAAATAATATTTGGTTTCAGTGTTGATAAAAAATGTCCTCTCAGATTATAATGCACATCAGCCACTGTTCTGCGCATGCGCGAATCACTTGATATTAGCGGTCACGTGACCCCCTTCGTAGCGTTCTGTCACAGAAGCGGAAAGATTTTTCTGGGTTTTATATTTCTTTCCCTGAAAGTTAATTTTTAAAACAAGAATGGTTTATCTGTCAGAAATGGTCAAATCTCGGCAACAGAATGGGTGGATAAGAATATCCTTTCCAAATATAAGCATGGCGACTATTAAAACACAAAACTTCTGTCTCAGGAGAGACGTTTATTCAAGGTGGATAGAGAATGGGTGCTTCCTTTTTATCATATCTAATATGTTTAATATCTAAAGTACACGATATTTTAGGTATTTAATAATTATATAAATGTTCAAATATTCAGCTATTTTTCAAAGTGTAAATTGATGGTCTTTGATAGCAAATTGCTATATTAAAAACACATATCTTTTCAAACTTGCTTTCATCGGGCAAGATGACAAGTATCATTTTTAACCATCTGCCTTCCTACAATAAAACGATCAATCCATTCATTGATTGAATTTATAGGAAGTCATTTCAACTAAGTACAAATTATTATATGCTACGGCAAAGGGGTTTATAAGATATACAATAAATTGTACAGTCGTTTGTTGAACGAGTACGACTGAGACAACCATTTTTCGTCACGAGTGACCTACATAGTGGCGTCATTTACACATTGTGACGTCACAAACAAGGAGCAAAGCTTTATTTAGCATATGCTATTCATAGAAATTGTGTATGGCTATATGTGTACCAAATTTCATTCTAATCTGAATTGTGGTCTTGTAGATATAGAGATAGTTCGCGAACTTTTTGATCACCCCTCGTACACATATTTAATGGTGGATAACCCTTGTATAATAGATATTTTGTGTCATTTTCAAATGAGCTTATGGTCAACCTTGGTGTTGGCATTAGCATACATATAGGCATCCAGGATACATTTGTAAGAGTAAAAGTTTAGGAGCACACCCATTCCCAAGTAACCGTAAGCCGTATCTGAACCAAACTTGCATTGATACTACATTCAGAGATGGGCACTAACTTCAGATTCTGGATTTCATATT